AAAAAAAAAAAAAAAAAAAAAAAGAAGAAAGAAACGTAATAGCTATGATATAAATTTACTTGACTTAAATTCTATTTGTTGTACTGAGGCAGGAATTAACATAAACGTTTCAATTTCAATGTGGTCTTTTGATAACTAAGGCTGATATGTTTTATGGACACACATTGTTTATGTCTCAGTAATCAGATAGACATTGATATTTTTACCTGCTGGGGTTGAAATTTAGTTTCATGACTGTTACATGAGCGAGTAAAATACTTTTATTCATTACGCTATAGTTCGTTATTTTCAAATTTTGAAATACACAATAATAAAAAGTTCTAGACTTTATAAAATGATTTTCTTTCAAACGTTGTAAAAATAATCTAATTATAGTTTTGTAAAAAAAAAAAATAATAATAATAATACAACAAAATCAGCACCCCGTTATTTGTTTTGAAACCCAGAACCGGAAATCTGATATTAACATCCTAAAATATGATCACTACCACGACTGACATTCTTTTAACGCCTTCAACTTGAAAATAAGGGGTTTCCCCATTTCATGTAAAAGAAAAAAAAAAGGAAAGCTGAAAAGCCGTGTTTAAAGAAACGAAAAAAAAAATATATAAAGACAATTTTACTGTTTTATTGAATACAAATATTGCCATATCTCAGCATCGTTGGAACAAGTAGTTGATGAATTCCTACTAGAACTGCTGAGAAAGAATCTTGAACACAAAGAAAGGAAGTTTTCTCTGAAGGCCATCAAGACCATGGAAGGTTTGGTCAGGTGAGCAGTGCCCTGTGTGTGTGTGTCTCATTGAAAAGTGTGAAAGGGTGATGTGTTGCAGGCGTGCTACAAGGGTAGAAAAAGGAAGGTTTTGTCGACAGCGGCTGATCTCAGCAGTGCGTTATGTTTTCAAACCGATCATTACTTGGCAAAACCTTATTCGCTGCTTAGTTTTTCTACTTCCGTTCACAGTTAATGAGATGATATAACGCCATCTAGTGGCGGAGCTTGGCCCGCCGTGTTGCAGACATGGGTGAAAACATTAAGACTCAAATAGTGAAAAATGCAAGCAAGTTTCGCCAATTTTTAATGCAATGGATAAATCGCTGAACAACTGTTCCACCTCTCAACTGCTTGTGTTCGATAGAGATGTTGATGAAGACATGAAAATAACACAAGAGCTGGCGTCCCTTCATTGCATGTACGA